TATGTGCCTTCAAGACGTTGACGATCGTGGCTCTCCACAATTTCCTAACTTTGTGCCTCTTAGTAATCTATGTATTTTTGATGCCTCTCCTAATCCCCGTTCTGCCAAAAATTTACCCAAAACCATTCTTCTTATATATACCATATCAGTTCAGAACATGGTCGAACACGGTTCTCCACACCTTCCTATCTTTTGTAGCTCTCAGAAAAATATATATCTATCTTCTTTTTTTTGCTATCCCTCTTAATCCCTGTTCTGCCAAAAATTTACACAAGCATATTTTCTTCTATATATCGCGTCCTTCAGGTCGTGAGCGGTCATGGCTCTCCACAGCTTCTTGTCCTTTGTAGCTCTTAGTAATATTTCTCTTTTCGTACTCTTTCCAAATCCCTGTTCCACCAACCATTAACAAAAGTTCATTCTTCTATGTGTTGTCTTATTCGAGAGGTGAGCAGTTATGGCTCTCCTCAATGTGCTGCCCTTTGTAGATCTTAGTAAAGTCTGAATTTTGTTTTAGTATCTCCCTTAAACAATGTTCTTCTAAGTATTTACGCAAGCTCGTTATATAGGCATGGGCTGCATTCCTCTGTCCCTCTTGCCTTCAATATGCCCCGTGAGTATCAAATTCTCTAAGCCTTCTTTCCTCACTATTGCAAATAGGAATTTCAATTTTCTCTTTCATTTGCTCATTATAAGTGTCCTTTTATATTCCATTTTATACTGAGGAGATCGACCTTTCTTCATTCTTTATCTATAAAGACGTGACGTCGGTGGAGGTTTACGTATGATCAGACTCCACTAAGAATCATCAGAGATTTAATGAGATTATCTCTCACTAACTTACAATCAATAACGATGAGAGATGTTAAGGATATTGTTTTCTCACTTTCACTCCACGAACAAATAATTCCACATATTTAAAAGGCCATGACGTCACTCATTCGCTCTGCATAATGTGATATTTTAAGCCATTTTCTCTTCCACCACACTTCATCCACAACCACAACAATTTTAGGTCAGCTGGGCATTGCTCTTCATAAAGACATGATATTTTAAGCGAATTTTTCAGATTCTCGCTCCAGAATTATCACATATTTAAGGAGACATAACTTTCCTCATTCTCTCTCCATAAAAGTGATTATTTAAGGCGCCTTTTTCTCATTCTTCATCCAGAATTATCATATATTTAAGGAGACATAATTTCACTCATTCATTCTCCATAAAAGTGATTATTTAAGGCGCCTTTTTCTCATTCTTCATCCAGAATTATCATATATTTAAGGAGACATAATTTCACTCATTCTCTCTCCATAAAAGTGATTATTTAAGGCGTCTTTTTCTCATTCTTCATCCAGAATTATCATATATTTAAGGAGACATAATTTCACTCATTTCTCTCCATAAAAGTGATTATTTAAGGCGTCTTTTTTTCTCATACTTCATCCAGAACTATCACATATTTAAGGAGACATAATTTCACTCATTCGCTCTCCATAAAAGTGATTATTTAAGGAGTCTTTTTTCTCATTCTTCATCTAGAACTATCACATATTTAAGGAGACATAACTTCACAACTCGCTCTCCATAAATACCTGCTATATTCAGCGGAATATATTATTACTCAGTCTTGCTCTAATTCAGTCAGAATCTATAACCTTCCGTAACCGTTCCTGATAAAAGTACATTTGCACTCGATCAGTATCTATCTAAACCCAATCATATATTAGAAGAGACTTGTTTTCACTCTGTCTCCATCCATAAACCAACATAGATAAGAAAAGCCTTGCTCTCACTCAATTCCCATCTATCACAACCAAACATCTCTGGTTGAAAATATTGAATCATTATCCTGACTCTATCGATGAGCGTCACTATTCATTATAGCACAAATAACCTTGCCCTACGCTACTTCCGCCTTAACTTGCGCTTGATGCCATCAAAACCGTAGAAATTTGCCATGGGCTTTGCTTTTATACTCTTCTCACTTCTCACCACAATGCCGACAGCTTCTACTCTATAATTCTGCCACGCCCTGCCTCCTCGTTATTCTAACACCCGACAAAAACACCCGCTCCATCACACATGTTGTATTGATTAAGACAGTTGGAGAAATCCGAGGTTGTCAATATGGCGGAATCTTAACAGCGCCAGACGTGGGTAATGGATTCTTGAAACCGAAGAGCGTATCGATTACTCTCGTCTGGCAGAGATCCCTTCTCGACCTGCCTACCTCCTCAAGCGACAAGGATAATCTACATGAACGCACGCTCATACAATAGACTCATACATATATATATATATATATATATATATATATATATATATATATGTGTGTGTGTGTGTGTGTGTGTGTGTGTGTGTGTGTATATATATATATATATATATATATATATATATATATATATATATATGTGTGTGTGTGTGTATGTGTGTGTATCCTTCTATTTGGCTGCAAAGGCAAAAGAAGATGTTAGATATATATGTATCTGCATATACACAAAACACACACATATATATATATATATATATATATATATATATAAATATATATATACATAGATATATGCATATATATATATATATATATATATATATATATATATATAAATATATATACATACATATATATATATACATACACAAACACACACATACACACACACACATATATATATATATATATATATATATATATATATATATATATATATATATATATATGTATATATATATGCATATACGTATTATAAATTTCTACTCCGCCTATCTTATCTCATACTCCACCGTGCCTTATATATATATAGAGAGAGAGAAATAGATAGATAGATAGATAGATAGATAGATAGATAGATAGATAGATAGATAGATAGATGAATGAATGAGATTACGATATATATTTGTATATATTGTGAACATTTTTCAAGGGAACTATATGTCAAAATGGAAAAAGTTTATATCAATACATACGTGAAGAGGAGAAATATATTGAAAATATTTTCAAGACTCTTCAATAATGTAACAATTTCATATTCAATGCAAAACAAATGCCTCATAAATTATTCCAAAATAAAAAAGTTATCTTTTTAGATAAACCAATAGAATCAAAAAATATTAATCTGATCACTAAACACTATCGCAACTACAACCCAAAGCAATTTATCTAAACTCAAAGCAATTTGTCAAAATTGCATATAAAACTATAAAAGACAGCAATCCAAAATGTGTAGGGCGAATTTACTCTATCAACTGCAATGATTGTCAGAAAAAAGATATTGGAGAAACTTCAAGAATTTTAAACAAAAACTATATAAACACAAAACTGACATTTTATAAAAGAACACTGAAAACACATTGTTCACCGTAAGGAAACTTATCCTAATTTCGACAAAGAAATTCTACTATTATTAAAGGAGAAAATAATCCACGAAAAAGTCGAGAACGTTTTTAATTTCTAGTTCAGCCACAGTAAATTTCTGCCCATGTTCTTACAACTTTTCAGATTTTCTGTTATAACAATGCGGGATATATGATAGAAAGAAAAAGAAGTAGAATATACATGAATTCGTCTAGATTTCCCAAAAATTATTATATATATATATATATACATATATATATATATATATATATATATATATATATATATATATATATATATATAAAGAAACATATAAATATAAATTTGAACATTGAAGTCAACACTAAGAAGTGACATGCTGCTTCATGCTGGGCGCAATCGTGTCTGACGATATATATATATATATATATATATATATATATATAATGTTTCTTTATATGAAGAAATATACTTTTAATGTGTGCTATATTTATGGGATAAAGAGCTCAATATCAGAGTTAGAGTGAATGTAAATATAAATATAAAAGTGAACATTGAACACCTCCACTCCTATAGAGGAGAAAAATAATTAGTGAATAAAATTTCAGAGTTTAGACGAAAATATTAGTAGTATAGAGATGAAGTAGACTTTAGTAAGTTTTTAATTTTATGCTAATTATATATAGAAAGAGAGAGAGAGAGTTTTAAGGTGTGCTATATTCATGCGATAAAATGCTCAATATCAGAGATAAAGCGTTTGTAAATATGAATATTAGATTGGACATTGAAGTCAACAATCCGAGGATACAGGCTGTTTCATGCTATATGGAATATATATAGAATGTTCATTATATATAGAAAGAGAGAGGGAGAGAGAGTTTTAGGGTGTGCTATATTTATGGGATCAAGTGCTCAATATCAGAGATAGAGCGTATGTAAATATAAAATTGAACATTGAAGTCAGCACTCAGAGGTGACAGACTGTTTCATACTAGACGCAATCGTTAGACTCGCGGCCTGACGATTGCGTCTAGCATGAAACAGCCGGTCGCCTTTTGAGTGTTGACTTCAATGTTCACTTTATATATATATATATATATATATATATATATATATAGATAGATAGATAGATAGATAGATAGATAGATAGATAGATAGATAGATTCAAGTGCACACTTTATATTTTATATCACAAAGAAATATTTTTCCAAATGATTAATAGCAATGCTATTGTGATAAATGGCGAAATCACTTCGCTAACAAGACTTAATGATACATTAACTTATTATCAAGTCCTTGAATAATAAGATCATTATATTCGAGTTGTCTTCCATCAGTGGGCGACACATGCTAAGTACTTTCGACAATTTCAAATTGTCATCTTCAAGGCGTAATTTTCTTATATATAGGTAAATAAGCAGTCATAATCAGAATCTTAAATTCTGTGGAAAACTACAAAAACATTTTTACTCTACTAACTGGATTATACTAAGTGCATTTAGAGGAAAATTTCGTGGATTTATAACTTTTCACGATTCTCCCTTGATCAATTTGAAGAACTCTCGAGTCACGACATCGCACGCTTCAAAACATATATTTAACTGTCAATAAATAACATAATTTAAAATCATCTTTCGGTCTACATATATTTCGTCTTAGTATTTATTTAAGATAGATAGATAGATAGATAGATAGATAGATAGATAGATAGATATGAAAGAATTGAAACAGAGATAAGGTGATGTGAATCTGATAATTGATATGCAAAGACTGGGACAGATAGATAGATAGATAGATAGATAGATAGATAGATAGATAGATAGATAGATAGATATGAAAGAATTAAAACAGAGCTAAGTTGATGTGAATCTGATAAGTTGATATGCAAAGACCGGGATAGATAGATAGATAGATAGATAGATAGATAGATAGATAGATAGATAGATAGATAGATAGATATGAAAGAATTGAAACAGAGATAAGGTGATGTGAATTTGATAAGTTGATATGCAAAAACTGGGTCAGACAGACAGATAGATAGATAGATAGATAGATAGATAGATAGATAGATAGATAGATATAAAAGAATTGAAACAGAGATATGGTGATGTGAATCTGATAAGTTGATATGCAAAGACCGGGATAGATAGATAGATAGATAGATAGATAGATAGATAGATAAAATACTATTTTTCTGCTCTCTTACTCATCCTTGACTAGGAAGTGAATTTTTTACTTTTTTTTTATTTTGTGTGCATTATTTAATACAAATATTAAATTAATATATATTAATAGCATATATCTATCCACACACACACACACACACACACACACACACACACACATATATATATATATATATATATATATATATATATATATATATATATTTGGTTGGATAGAAGTGAGTTTGTGACCCTGGGTTTCACGCTTTAGCGATCGTCAGTATATTTATTTATATTTATATACACTTTTCACATATATATATATATATATATATATATATATATATATATATATATATATATATATATATATATATATATATATATATATTTAATATATATTATAGTATATATGTATATATTAATGTATATTGTTGTATATTAGTATATATATATATATGTATGTATATGTATATATTGATTTAATATATATTATAGTATATATGTATATATCAATATATATTGTATATTAGTATATATATATATGTATGTATATGTATATATATTGATCTAATATATATTATAGTATATATGTATATATCAATATATATTGTTGTATATTAGTATATATATATATATATGTATGTGTGTGTATATATATATATATATATATATATATATATATATATATATTATATATATATAGATAGATAGATTAAAACTGACAAATGTTTTTTCATTCGATGTATTTCAACAAAAATAACGACTATGTGTGTAATATTACGCGTGCATTTGTGTATATTACGTGTGCATTTGTGTACATTACGTGTACATTTGGTTATAAGTGCATTCTTGCGCTGTGTACATCCATGTATTTGCTTTTTATATTGGTAATGATATTTGTCATTTTTTTTTTGGCGGGGGGGTTTTGCCTGTGTTCTCGTGGGTACATTTATTTATGTTTTTGTATGGCTTTCACTTCTGTTGCATTGTGCATACGAATTTGGGGGTGAATGTAGTCGCTTGTATGTGTCTTCCGTTCTAGAATTTGATTGATTTGATGTGTCTGTATACAGGTGTATATCGGGTGGGGGCAAGTGTGTACGTATGATGGGTGTAACATTGTCGAATTATCTAATGCAACAAAAGCGTGCCTTGTGGAAAGATGCATGCCAGGAACGCATACCAGATTCCTAAAACCATTAAATGCTTTTAGCCCAGGATTTCAAAGACCAACACACACGAACTTAGATATATCTCTTTTCTCACGATAATGAAAACTAAACATATGTGTATATATAGAAATACATATAGCAGTGCTTATATATATATATATATATATATATATATATATATATATATATATATATATATATATATCACTACCATCATCATCATCATCCACTTGACTTTTGTAATCTTAGCTGGATCCGAATGCAAAGGCCACATTGAATCTCCTCCACAACGCTCTATCAACGGCAGCCATCAGCAATTCTGGTATAGTCATACCTGTCCAATATTTGTCATTGTCGAACCTCCTCTCCTACGTTCACCTTCAACGGTGTCTTGTTGATGGTCTTGCCCAGGCTGTCGTGCCTTGTAACGTGTCCAAATTACGCTATTTTTTTTTAATCTGACAGTGAGAAGAGATTCCTGGTGGCCCATAAAACGTTCAACCTTTTTCTGCGCAAACTCATTGGTTTTTTAATCCCAATAGAAGATGCCAACGAGTTTTCCCATGAATTTGTTCTCAAGCGCTTGGATCATTCTATCTGCATCTGCCAACACTGTCCACGTTTCACATACATGTAAGAGAATGGAGACGACCGCCAATTTGTAGTCTGTACTTCGTTTCAAAGGTCATTTTGCTCCGCCATATTCATGAAAATTTGGCCATTGCTGCTATGGCTGCGGCATTCTGTGACCGTATTTCCGTGTTGCAGGTACCATCTTTAGACAAGATTGCTCCTAAGTATTTAAAACAGGACACTTCCCCCAGTGAATTCCCGTTCATGGTAATTTTGACACAGGTGTTAATGTTTATGCTATTCGCTATTACTTAGGATTTCTCGGAGCTGAACTCCATTCCATATGATCCTGCTCTTTCGAAGGTGTGTTGCTTAAATCCGGGAACCATTGTTACTATCTACTGTGGATCTATGATGTCTGCAAAACGTAGGTTACAGACAGGTCTACAACGGACAGAGATTGAAGGATCATGTTCGTTCAGGGTTTTTGTATGTTTGTCTCTAGAAAAACGTTGAGCAATGTGGTTGAATGTGCACATACCTGTCTCACGCCGACGGTTGTCCGGAAGAAGCCTCCTATTTAATTTCCCAGAAGAAATGGGCTGTTGGCATCTTTATATAGGGCCCGGATGACTTGGATAATTCCGGTATCTACACTGAATTCCCTAAGGATTTGCCAAATATCGCCATGCCATATACGGTCAAATGCTTTCTTGAAATCAACAAATTGTGGAACACGTCCATCTGATGTTGCAGGTGTTTCTCTACGAGGATCCTACAATTGAAGACCTGTTCCCTTGTTTTATATACAGTTCTAAAACATGCTTTTTCCTCTGATAACAGTTCTTCAGCCTGGGATTTCAAACGATTCAAAATGATACGGAGAAATACTTTACTAGGGTGGCTGATCAGGCTTAATGTCCTATAGTTTTGACACCGTCTTGGGCTTCATTTCTTTGTCCGAGGTGTTACGAATGGCGGAGATCCCTGGTTAGGCCACTTTTTTCTTCCCAAATCTTCTGGCATAGTGCTGATATGACTTTGATGATTTCTTCACCTCCATGTTTTACTAGCTCAGAGGAAAGATTATTTTACATACATACACGCACGCAAATAAGATATACTGGTTGTAACAGCAAAATTGTCCAAATCGCGTAACAGCAAAATTGTCCAATTTTTAGATTAAACATTGAACCGAGGTATCTTAGAAATGATTAAAAATATATTAGTGGAAAATCTCCGAGGTTTTTATAACACTATTGGTATATAGTTTGAGCAATAAGAATGTATAATTATCCTCCAAGTTTAACAGAAGAATCGTGATGAAATCGATCCTAAAGAAAAATGACATGTTCATCCTTAATTAATCATAGCTAGAGATCAGAAACTCATGAAGTATTGAAATAAAGTTCTAATACATATATATTATTCCAGGATCATTTTCCAACTTATTCAAGATAATCTTCGCCCTCTCTAACGTTCTAACTTTTTATCCTTGTGTAACAAATTGCCTCACACGATTCACGTACGATTTCCTTTACCTTTCCTTTTTTCACTGCACTTTGGAGTGCCATAACTGAAATTCCTCTCTCTCACATGCCAAACGTTTGATGGACTGAGTTGGATCTTTTCTAATTGATTTCTTGAACTCTAAGTTGAAATGATGACACATCTTCCTGTTTTGCTCTCTTGATCCAGTTTTCCTTTTTACTGTTCAGACTTTTTAAAACTTATTCTCCATTCTCATGATGGTTCTTGAACGGACTTTGAACATGGAAACCAGAGAATGAATGTTGGTGCGATTACTGAAGGACTGAATGATCTTTTACCTCTCACTATTGCTCTGTTGGGAAGACAGTGGGTCTGACATAAAGTAAAATTTTAAACTGCTCTCCCTTTCGCTGAATATTTCAAAGTGTTTTTCAGCGTGTCTGACGACAAATCGTGTCAAAATGGCTAAATGGAAACCCGGAAAAAAGAATTTCAATTAGTGCAATGTTTTTCTAGATATTAAACATTTTGTGGGTGGATATATATATATATATATATATATATATATATATATATATATATATATATATAAATCATCAGAAATTGTCATTCCAATCTGTTGAGTATGAGATCTGTGGTAGATACCCTGCAGGACGTAGGCGATCATGGCCCTCCACTTCGCCCTTTCATTTGTAGTTCTCAATATTTTTTGTCCTTTTGCTACCTCTCCTAATCCCTGTTTCGTCATCCACTTGCTTAAGCCCGCTAGGTATGTCACGTGTTACTTTCCCGTGTCTCGCTTTCCCTCTAACCGCCCTGTGAATATCAAATTCTCCAGGCCCTCCTTTCTCATTTCGGCTGCCTCTTCCTGATCTTAAGTATAAGCTTCCTCCCTGTTTGCATCCTCTCCAAAACCTTTTCGTTGTTCACACGCTCGGTCCATGGTATCCTCAGGATCCTTCTGTAGATCCATACATCGGTTGCCTCGAGTCTCTTCTTGATCTTTGAGGAGACCGTTCAATATTCACTGTCGTAAAGGAGGACAGATATCACGTAGCAGTTCAATACTCTTTTCTTTGTTACCAACGAAAATCTTCTCTTTCGTAATACACTGCCGAGCTTTTGAAAATACAGGGTTGGCCATCCCAATACTTCTTCGGATTTCAGCGTCTCAATTACCGTCCTCTTTCAAAACAATTTCCACATATTTAAACTTCCGCACCAGCTTGATTTTAGTGGCCCCGACCTCCAATTTGCATTTCGGGCTCATCTTTTTATTGATGGCCCTGCATTCTGTCTTCTTGTAGTTTATGCTTAGTCCCTTCTTCTTTGGCAACCTCCTGTATGGGGGTTTTGTAATTTCCTTTCCGTGTCTGCTATCAGCACTGTGTCATCTGCGTATCTTAAGATCGTGGCCGCCAGTGATTAATCCTGGTAGGATTTCCAGTTCTCTCAGTATTGCCTTGCTGTATAGGTTGAATAAGTCCGGTGAGAAGTCACACCCTTGCCTTACACCGCTTTCTATTTTTGTATATCTGCTGAACTGATTCTCTATCTGCATGCAGGCCATTTTCTGCAAGTATAGGTTCTTGGTTATTTTAATATCTTCCCTAAATATATTAAGGTTGCCAAGCAGTTCCAACAGATCTTTGTGGCGTATTTTGTCGAACGCATTTGCGTAGTCTATAAAAAATAGCTCTCCTTCGCTATCTTCTGTATGAGTTTTCGTAATTTTCTCTTCGTGTCTGCTATCAGCACTGTGTCATCATATCTTATGATAAGTTTGTGGCCGCCAGTGATG